GCTTAAGATGGGCCTCGGCTTCGGCTTAGGCTTTGATCGTGGGTTGGGCTTGGCTTAGGTTTAGGCCCAGGCTCAGGCACAGGCTCAGGCTAACAAGGAGTCGTTTTTAGGTGATATTGGGTTTTGAACGAGACCTAGCTAGTTCGATAGAGAAAAAAATTCTGAACAGATGTCGTTTTCCAAATCTGTTAACCGTGTACGCTGTGCAATAAAATTAATTTGAAAATCATTAATCTAAACATCATTTTCCGCTGATCCATAGATTCTCCTCTTTGGGTGCGTCAACACTTAGCCCCTTTAGGCCTCCCTCCAGCCATGACCAGCTGGCCTATTGGTAGTGCGCTTGCTTCTGCAGTTTTTGTCTTTTTTGCCCAGCGGGTTCAGGCTCTAGCTAGTAAAACTCTTTTGCTTTTTGCTCGATAATGCCAAATTCGATTTCAATGGCCTGAAAACCAAAAAACAAAACAATAAAATCACAATAAGTTCCCGAACCCTGGGCATAATTTTGCAAAAGTTTGATAGGCGCCGGCACTATCCACTAGGCCACAATCTCATGCGGATGCTGGATCGCGCTATGGGCTATGTCCGGGCCTGATCCAAGCGTCGCAACCTGACGTCCAGGAATTTTTTCATTAAAATTAATTTTTATTGAATACAATACACGGTTAGTGATTTGGAAACGACATCTTGTTCAGAATTTTTCTCTATCGAACTGGCTAGGGTCTCGTCCAAAAACTCCAATATCACCTAAAAACGACTCCTTGTAAGGCTCAAGCTCAGACTCAGGCTTCGGGCTTCGGCCTTCCGCTCAGGATTATCCTAAACTTAGGCTGCAAACAAATTTGTGTTATGTCCCACAATTCCAGGAGGTGAACAACAGCGTCAACACGGTCAAGCAGGTCGTATAAAACCTGGAATAAATATTTTTATACTTTTTTATTTTACATGTCACAAGCTGCACGCTGATTCTGGGTGTAAACACAGCCCATTCTTCGATACAATAATAAAACCTGGGGGAGGAGTGGTGTGGGTCCACGGGGGCAAACAGGACCCCCGCCGTGAATCAGGTTTTATGAAGCCCGATTGACGATAGTTCTGCAGCACATCGATCACATTTGATTGGATTAAGGTCTTCAGAATTCGGTGATTTCCCACTTATTTGCTCCTAATGACATTTGCGGCCTGATTTTTGATGGGTAAATTGGGTCAAAGACGTTGTTGGGTTTGATAAGGACCCAACAGGGTTGGGTCTAATTTGCATAATCGCAGACTGATAAGAGGTTTGCTACCTACCAAAAACGCTTCAAATTATTTGGCTCTACCTTGCGCGCGTGCTCTCCCCCCCTCTCTCTGTCTCTCTCTCTCTCTCTCTCTCTCTCTCTCTCTCTCTCTCTCTCTCTCTCTTCTCTTTGACCAAGCTACAGTAAACCTCTAACATTTTTTACCTGGTCCGGATATACCGGATCCCTATCTGTATCCTTATCTCTCACTATATCTTTCTCGCTCTCTCTCGCTCACTCTCGGTCTCTCACTCACTCTCTCTTCTTTTTGACCAAGCTACAGTGCACCCTCTAAACATACCTTGGATGGTCAGGGTCTCTCTCTACTCTGTCTCTCTCTCTCTCTCTCTCTCTCCTCTCTCTCTCGCTCTAGCTCTCTTTCTCTAACTTTTGAATTCTTACAGGATCTGGGCTGCACTGGCCGTCCTTTCTTACAAGATTTTGCGATTATTATTTCGCACGCTGATTCGGCTCAGAAATCAAGATTTTCCCTAAAGGAACCTTGCTAGTATGCCTTGCTTTGATTTCCTGAGACTCAATCGTGAGTCATTCCTTTCTCGCTACAAAATAATTTAAAAAACAGCTACCTCCTCCCATTTCGCAATCACCCTCTATTTGATTTCCCCCTTAAAACAGTGTGGGAAAAACTTCCGCGTCTCACAAGCAATGCCCTGGAATTCCCACGTAATTCGACACTGGTTCCTCGGAACCTCGGATCATAGCTATGATGATGATGGAACGCTACGAGCTTTGAGCCGGCATCTCTAGGGAACCATAAACAAAGCAGTCCCACTTTTCCTCCACGCCCTCCATCCCGGAAGCCCAGTTTTCCGTTTCCCCATTCGCTAATTATGATTTTTTCTCGCGGTGTTGGGTGTGATTCATCGTTGCTCATCGATTATAAGCTTTTGGCTGTCACCTGGAAGGTTGGCTATCATAGACGATGTCACTTAATGGTTTCTCTCATCCCTTCTTTTGGACACATGGACACTAAACATGCGGCCATGTGACGTATCAAACGAAACCTGTAGATCACCGTTTGGCATGGCTTCAAGCTAAGCTTTCCTGCCGCTCTTTATATACCTGTTCCTTGAAATTTTTTACTGGTTTCCATAATTTCATGGGCCATGAAATTTTCCGTTTATCCTCGTACTAACACCTTTTTTTATATTTGCCTATTGTCATATTTTTCAACATCAGTTTTTTTTCCTATAAAGGCCAGTGGCGATCGTACGATGTAATCTGGCTATTTCCAGCAAACTCCAGGAAATGAAGGTCCTGATCTTAGCTGCCCTGGTGTCCCTGGCCTCAGCAGGATTTTTCGATGATATTGCCGATGGATTCAAATCAGTATAAATAAATATAAAATTCAGACAAAATTCTTTTTTTTTGTAGGCTGGAGACTGGGTGCAGAACAAAGCAGCGCCTGCTGTCAAGGAAGCTGCTAGTGATGTGAGTTATACGAAAATTCTTACATGTCGACGAATTTTTGAACCATTCCCGGCTATTTTAAATAGCAAATCATTTAAACGTTCTTATATTTGTTTTTAGACGGGTGATTGGGTGCATGAAAAAGCCGTGCCAGCCGTGAAGACTGCTGCCAGTGATGTGAGGATTGCTTATGTTTAAAATAACTTTCAAACAATTTAGACGGGCGATTGGATCAACGACAAGGCTGTGCCCGCTGTGAAATCCGCGGCTTCTGACGTGAGTCCCAAAAATTCACAAAACTCCACATTTTTAGACTCATGACTGGGTGCGCGACACGGGTGTTCCTGCTGTGGGAAAGGCGGCTTCTGATGCCGGCGATTTCATCCAGGGCAAGGACCGGAAATAGATGATTCGGGCTTTGAATTTGAAAAATGCTTTGTACCTTGCGAGTTTTTATGAATAAAGTTATTTAATTAGGACTAGCATGAATATATAAAAAGGCGCTGCGAAAGAAATAGACCCATTTATACTGCAAGGCAGGAAACTTACGTTAAGAATCAACCGACTCCTTTAGCTATGCCTTACAAGCGATGGATAAACAGACAATAAAACTGTTTCGTCTCCGGGCACGACAGTACCGGAGGTTCATATAAATGATTGGGTAAGTTTTCGTTTCCGGCCGCTTTAACGCATACTGTCTGTACTTTCTGAATCGCGGATGGATGTCAATTCCCCCACCCCCTTCCCACCGTCGGAGCATCTGAGGCACTTCCTGTAAACGGCAATATGAACTTCCCGAAATCCGATACTCGTTGATACCCTTGATTGTAATTTTGGTCGAACGGTTTGGTGCCTGGTGATGACTTTCGGCGAACGTCGTAAACACCACCCCCACCTTCTATAAATTAAACTCAACCCGGCAGTTCTTTCTAGTTTTTCGTCTTTCTCCCGGGTAAGGGATTTCCGTATCGGTCATTAGCATTTTTGCAAACCACGTTTTTAGCAAACCCCACAGGATGAAACTCATCATCCTCGCCATCCTGGTGCCTCTAACTTCCGCTGGAGTTTTTGATGATATTGCCGCTGGCCTTAAAAAGGTAGAAATTTGTTTAGAAATTATATGGAATCCCGATTCCAGACCGGCGAGTGGGTTGAGAAGGAAGCGATACCTTCGATCGGGAAAGCCGGTAGTGACGTGAGTTTTGGTTGGCTTCAATAGCGAGTTTATAATGAATTGGGCCGTCTGTCTGTCTATTTGTCTTCTTGTCCGAGAAAGTTAATCTATAAGCTATTACGTTCTATAAACTTTTTCTAGGCCAAAGTTTGGGTTGAGACAAAGGGAGCGCCGGCTGTTCTGGGTGCGGCTAAGGATGTAAGTTTTTCGAGATTTTTTTGTGTATTGCTATTTGTTGAATACGATTTAGAATCCGTAATCATAATTTTAAAGCCTACGTAAAAACCTTGAAAGTGAGCTATTTAACCTACCATTATAGACAAACAAATGGGTCCAAGAAAAGGCGGTTCCTGGAGTCGGACGGGCTGTTTCCAAATGTAATTTTTTATATTTTTATCTGCCTTTGCTGTTAATATATTTTAGGCTGGCGACTACATACGGGAAAGGATCGGCAATAAATACCTCAATTTTAAGTTCTCAAGTTCCTCAAGCTGCTGTGCAATTTTGCCAATAAAAATTTTTCTGCTCGGCTAATGATTTACCCATGGGAACCCACGATTTACCCATGGGTAAACCCACGATTACCCGTGGGAACCCATGGGTTCCCATGGGGTAAGACGTGGGTTTCCATGGGTTCCCATGGGTAAATCGTGGGTTTCTCTGGGTACCCATGGGTAGATCGTGGGTTCCCATGGGTAAAATTATTAGACAGGAGGTGCTTGTAGTTTACACTTTACTTTTATTTTACTTTGCTTTTCACTAATAAGGTGGTGCTTTCAAAAGGCAATTGTTTGGCAGTCCGACGCTGAGTTGTGACCCTCATGTAGATCGAGACGGGAGCATCGGCAATAACTAAAATAGCCACCTTTTTTGGCTTTGTCATTTTCATAGCTTCAGGGCTGCTGCTTTTTTGATGAACCTACGGTTAATCGATTGGAAGCAGTCGATGGGCGTGTAGAGCAGTCCGTGATTTAGGCATAGAACCTAGAAAGTATCCGTTTACTGCTCGAGGGAGCTCAAAAACATACTTACTTTTCGTTTTTGTCCTTGCACGGCCTTTATAGTAGACGAATCCCCTCATAAAAACACATCGCGGTTCAGTACCTAAAGAAAGAAAGAAAAGTTGTAATCCTACTCACCATCCAACCTATTCTTTGTAGCAAGTAAGTGTACCCTGAAATTTCGAACGTATATAGGAAACAGAGGGTATACTTACAAAACCCGCGTAGTTGATGGTGAAGTACCTATTTCTTCTTGAAAAAGACATAAATAAGCACTACAATACGTCTAAAAAATTAGATCGATCAGAAAAACATCGTTGCGTCAAGGTCAATCATCATTTAAAAACCTATAGTACGTTTAGCAAACTTACCTACTCCAAGTATTTATCAGTTCTTATGGATCTAAAAGTTTATTCGGTGACAAAGTTAGAAAAACAAAATAAAATGAAAACTTGGGAGAAAATTTCTGAAAAGTAGGATGTGATCGTGACAGTACTATGCACGTTTTTACCCATGGGAACCCATGGGTTCCCATGGGTAAAACATGGGTTCCCATGGGTTCTCTCCCCCCGAGATTTACCCATGGGTACCCATGGGTAAACCGTGGGTTCCCATGGGTAAACACGGGTTGCGGGTTCCCATGGGTAAAACATGGGTATCTGTGGGTTTTCGCGGGTACCCACGGGTAAACGTGGGTTTTTCTGGGTTCCCATGGGTAAATCATTACCCGAGTGTCACTGAAAAGGCATCGCTATACCTGAAAAAAGCTTAATAAAACCAAAAATTAAACGTTTGCTGGGAAATGTACCTATTGAATGTTATAATTCGGGTCGGCTAATTGGGAATCCGGCTCAACGATGAGGCATCGTGTTCCACAGCCTGCAAACCTGGCAGCGATGCAAACCGTTTTTCATGACTCACCGTTGAGCCGGCCTAAATACTGTAGCGCTTAGCCGATTCGAGTACCTTTTATACCGTTCGAAAGTTCAGAAGATCACTTTCCCAACAGGAAAATCGTATCGTTTTTCACATAGCGACACTTTAAAAGCGTCACAAAAGATTGTCGTTGCTAAATATCAGTCTTACCGATTCATGAAACTTTAAATAAATTTTAAACGTTAAATTTTTAAGCGTTTAAATTTGACGTTTCGCGAAAAATTTAATTTAGCGTTTTGTTTAATCTTCAATTTTCAGAAAATAAGATCATGAAGCTGTTTTTCTTAATCGTCTTCTTGGCATTGGTCTCGCCCGCGTTTTTGCAACGACCTCGTTGATATATTGCGCAAGGTATCTTGGTCTACGAATTAAATAAACCCTATTTATAGATTGGTCAGAAGTTTGAGGAGAAACAAGACGTACTTATTGACAAAGTGGTCAACGGGGCAGTCGCTGCTGTAAGGCTCGAAATTTTTGGATTCTAAAAACAACTCAGGTTGGCGAGCTAATTGTTGGTGGCCGTAAGCGACGTTCTATTCAATTCAATCATGCCAACGTGGGTTATCCAGCATTTTTAATTAGTTTTTATTCATTCCTCTCGCCTTTAATTCTTCTCGGCTTTAGGCAAACAACGACGCGCAAGGAAAGAATTGACGATTGAGGAAAGGAATCAATGATTTGAACTTTAAATACCTCAAAATCCCGGCCTTCTAAAGATTTTGTATCAATAAAACTTTGCTTTGTTTCCTCGAGAGAAACGTATCAATGCAGTTATCAATGCTATTCTGATGATTCACGGTAGCGCCGGATCAAAAACAATATCCCTCGACCGCATCGCACTACGTTTTATGCCGTTAAAAAATCAGAATAGAACGAAACTGTACGCATCAAAGTATTTACGATTGCTAGGAATTAGGTCTTTAATCACGCTCGGTAATTTTTTGCAAGTTTTGTCCTGTAGTTTCTCTCGCGGTCCTGACTAGCAAAGTAAGCATGGGCTTGGGCTTGAGCCCAGTTGTATGCGTAGGTGCTCATGTGAGCGTTCTGATCGTTGTGAGCTGGGCGTCCTAGCACGTAGGCTCGTTTTCGCACTTTGCGTACCGCGTGTAGTTTATAAACCGGGGACACGTAGTTTTTACCGGGGCGTCGATTTATTTAAAAGGTCAATTAGCACTTCCTGACACGGTAACCACACAATTCTTGAAATTCGATCTGTGCGTGGGCGTCGAATAGATTACACCTCACTAGGGCCGCACCGATGTTTGTGTTTTCGAGATTTACAAATATTTGAGTGAATTGTTGATAAATTTATCCAGCCTTTCCAAAGAGTTTACAGGGAAACTGTATATAAAAACTCTTGCAAAAACCACGAAGGCAGCTTTCTGAACTACGATGGAGGTTTGACAACCTCTTTCTCATAAAATTTGTTTAAATTCCTCAAAATTACAGAAACTCTGCAGATGAAGCTCCTTCTCCTAATCTTCCTGGTGGCGCTGGCCTCACCGGTGGTCTGTAACGATATCGTTAACTTATTCAAGAAGGTTTAACTGCTTCAAATTATATACATTATTTTTTTTATAGTTCGGTAAGAAGTTCGAGGAGAAGTCGGACGTACTCATCGACAAGCTGGCTGATCGAGCCATTGGTGTGGTAAGTTTTTACTAGTTACGATGGTTAGGCCGCAACATCGTCGTCGCGAACATTTTTCTAGACCGTCTTTATACCTTTGCAGTTTGGCGGAATCTTCTCCGGTGGGCGTCAGCAGCGATCTGTGCAGTTTACTGGTGCAGAAACAGTTTATCAGAGCAAAAAGCATTAACCCTATGAGGTGATGCCATTTTTATGAAACCTAAAATGGCCTTTAGAATCATACTTTGGCACGGCATCATCGACATGTAACCGTCTGCGATTGGAAGATTCGGCCACATAAATATTTTTCTTGTTTTGTTCAGCGCTTACTAATCAATGACACGGTGTCAGAACAAGACCGGAACGTTTATTATGCTTGTATTTACAGACACCTTGAATAATTCACAACTAATAATTTGCACTGGAAAATTTTTTGGGAGTTTTTCTTAAAACAAGAACTTTTTTGGATCAGTGCTGCCTGAAAGTTTTGGCAGCTCGGTTGGCGTGAGCCGGTAGGGGAAGCGGCTTCATGCTGCTCTGGTTCGGCTTCTTCTTGGAAATCTGCTCGGATGCTGTCGTATTCATCGAAAGGGGTGGGTTTTTCATCTTCTTGTCCTGCTACTGGTACTGAGGCGGCCGGAAGTCGGGAGCCTTCCCCTGAAA